AAGCTAAATGATCAGATTCAAAGAAAAATTCATCAGGATCTGTGAAAATAAATTTTCTTGTGAAGAAGTACTTTCATCGACTGAATTGGAGTCTTTGTCAGAAAACTCTGCCTTGTCCAAGGAATATCCATGATGATAATATAATAGATGATATTTGTTAACTAGTCTATTGATAATAAGTGTATTTTTTGTTTAATAATAATTTGATATGAAAGTAATTAAGTAAACGTTAAATATAATGTTTTATTTTAAAAAATAATGTTTTTTGTTCACAGGTTATAACATGTTTGGACATAACCTCACTTTTGACGTTTTGAAAAGTTCTAAAAAGAAATTCTAATATAAATATAGTTTATGATTTGTTTATTAAATTGAAATTTACTTTTTAATTTTCAACTAAATTCAGAAATAAACATAGTACAAAACAACTAATAATATCTAGTTTTATAAATATTTGAATACATCTAATAAAATTGAAATTTGGCGCTTTTATACTCATCAAAAAGTCTAACAAGATTCTAAAAAAATGAATGAATGAATATTTAGTTTTATGTTTTTGAATATTTAAATTCATTTTAATTTTCAATTTTGAGAATTTAAATAGTATAACAATTAATAATATGTATTTTTCAATAAATATTTAAATAAAAAAAAACTAATAAAATTTAAATTTTGCGCCATTTTTCTCATGAGAATCCAATTTAACTAAGGCAACACTAAATAAATTATGTTATCAGTAAAAATGTCTTTTGCATGATTTTTATTTTACAATTTTTCTATTTAGTTTTAAATATCATGCCAAGTTCATTATATTTTTACGTTTTTTTGTACTACTAAATATATTTTGTATAAACAATGTCATTTCTGGTCTTTCCTCTAGTCAGTATTATCAACTGCATTTTTTAGCTTTTGTACTAAGATTTTTATAATTAGTTAGAATTAATTAATAAATAATATACATGTACAATTCAAGCTTGGTAAGCATAAAATTTTAGTGTTTGCATTTGCTTACCTTGCAACTTATCAAATTACAATCAACGAGTAAATCTACCATTGCAATTCTTTATATATAAGAAAGTATTTTTAAAATGTCAGAACTTTATAAATGTACTTTGTCTGCCGAAGATTATTTATATGCTGAAGAATATTTGGGTGAAACTGAATCAATCCGGAATGATAGTATCAGGGAAATCCAAGAATGGATCCAAGACAACCCTCATATAAAAGCCAGAAACGATCCAGTATCAATCCTACATTTTTTAAGAGGCTGCAAGTTTGATATTCCGAAAACAATAGCCAAAATCAAGCATTTCTACTTAGCCAGATCTAAAGTACCGGAGTGGTACCAAAATAGAGACCCTCATTTGTGTGAAATCCAAGAACTCGTTGATTTAGGAGTGTTTTTACCTCTAAAAACAAAAGATGCTCATAATAGATTGATTGTGGTAATTAAAGCGGCTGCACATGATCCCAAAAAGCATTTACAAGATGATGTTTTTAAAATCGGGCAAATGATTATGGATTTAGCTTTACATTTGGATGAAAGTGTATCTGTATATGGAGTTGTTGCTATTTTTGATCTTGAAAATGTTACTTTAGGGCATGCTTTGCAGTTGCATCCGGGGATGATTAAGAAGTTAGTTGATAGTTGGAAGTTTTATCCAACAATGGTGAAGAGACTGGATTTTGTAAATGCTCCCAGTTTTGTTAACATCGTACTTGATGTCTTCATGTAAGTATATGCTAACAGTCATTTTTATGTTAAAAATTATGCTCACATAATTTGGTTTTAGGAAATTCATGACCAAAAAGCTTCGTGATCGAGTCACTGTCCACAGAACAGGTCTTTTAGACATTCCAGGACTTCCTGAAGAATGTGTCAAGAATCCTAAAATGTTTTTTAAAGATTTAACAAATTATTGGAAAGAACAATTAAACTTGTATCGAGACTGGCTCAAAAACGATATGTCCACAAATCAACAAACATAAAATCTGTGATTTTGTAAAATTTTATATATATTTTGTATAATAAAAAATTCTATTATCAAAACATTATACTCCATACAGTTGTTTGAGAACATTTTTTATCAGTCTCTTTGTCTCCACAAAGTCTATTGAAGGTTGTTGTTTTTGGGAAGCCTAAGATTTCACGTTCTTCTTGTATTCGAAATGAAAATGTAGATTCATAAGTCCCTATGAAATATTTGGCATGGGAACAAATTATTTGTTCTACAATCGCTTTGCCTCCATCTTTAATTTTCTTTTCTATATCCGATGTTGGTTTAAATGTGTAGACTTTAATTTTTGTTCCAAAAAGGACCTCAAGTCACTTATTTCTGGAAAAAACATGAAATAAAATACTTTTTATATATAAAATACATTTGCAATATAAAATACCTATAGAGAAAGCATCTGTTGCTAAAAATACAGTAAATATTTGTAGTTTGTTGCAGTTTTTTTCAATTTGTTGTGCTGCATACTTTATATTTGGAATGTGTTTTGAGCGACCCCATAAAAATCTTGTCTGCGCAAATGCACTGATATATAATTTCCACCAATTGCATTTCTACTATACTAAAAATTAAGATATGTATATAAAATTAATTTAAACATCATACATTTTTTGTACCTTTTCATCTTTCCAACTTAAAGGTCTTAAAGTATTATCATTGTCATCTGTTGAGTTTAAATAAGTCTTTCTAAAATCATTGGCAAGTTTGACTAGGGGTTGACTAAACCTCATACTTCTACGAGCTCTCCAAAACTCAGGAGAGCCCCATGTGTCATGCAAAGGTATTTCAGCATGAGCAAACATTATTGAACTAAAATAATTAAATGATATAAGTTATTGTTATTAAATATAAACTGATGTATGCATTAATATATACTTGGCTTTGCTGTCTTTGATTATATTCTTCAACAAACTAGTAGTTCCTTGAAATTTTAAACACTTTACAGTACCAAAAGTTACATTACTGTACCCCCATAAATCATTCAACTCAGTTTTTTCTTTACAATCATTTGTATACTCATATTTATCTTGAAAATTACCAGTTTCAAACATCTCTTCGAAATGTTTCAATATAAAAACCTCATCAATCACAAGACTATCTTTATTCCAAATATTATGATATGCAAAATAATCTTTCATCTCCACAACGGGAACATATTTATTCAAACTATCTACATCAAAAAATTCATTCCACGGGATTGAATTTTGATTTAAATGTTTGGATTTCCAATGAAACAGATCTGACCATGGTGGAAGTACTAGTACAAATCTTTTAATTTTCATTTTGTTTATAATTTTAACAAATGTAGCCATTCTTATGTATACATCTCTCCGTAAGTTGAACCCCTCAGGTTTGTTTACATCGTAGAAAATATATGTGCGCTCGTTATATTTATTAATGTTAATGGTTTCACATTTAGTACCTTGATCTGAACAAACTTTTTGCTCATTTTGAGTATCACAAATTGTTAGAAATAAAGATAATAGTAAAATATAAAGTTTAAACATATTGGTTATCTTTGGTTTAAGGTTTCGGCGAATATTAATATCATTAAATCCTTACTTAATATATAATATGTAATATATTTAATGTATTACATATTTCCTAATATCTAATATTATTTTTATATCACGAATTTATTCATTATTTAAGCTTAAAAATTAAATATTTTTTATAGATTCTGACATTTTGAAAAATTTGACAGCTGACAAACACTGTTGCCAACTATGCGGCTAACTTCATAACAAAAAAAATATGGCGGTGTTTTTGAAATAAATATATATTTGCATAATTTTTCATGTAATATTTTTTTTTTTTTTTTTTTTTTTTTCTCGATGATATCATTTCTATACGGGTCGACTGTGATTAGTCGTCGTGTATGTTTTATTTATTTATTTACATATATACATTATTTTCATATCTCAGTCAGACAGAGGTGCCTGGTATGAGAGATTATGAAAAACAGTTTTCATATAATATTTACATTTCATTTGACTATAATATCTATTTCATTAATATAATATCTATATATAACTCTTCAGTCTTCTTTTTCTTCAATTTCCATATAGTACTTCTTTATTTTTCTTTTAAAATTATCATTATCATTGGTCATCTTAATATAGTCTGGCAATTCGTTATATATTTTGGTAGCACTCCATATGACATTTTCTCTCAAATTCTTTTTTCTATTGCGTTCAATGTGAAAATTGTTGTGTTGTCTCGTGTAGTGTTCATGTATATCTTGATTTGTGTCTATTGTTGCACTTGTTTTAATTCGGTTAAATTTCATTTTGTGTATTAGTTTGCATTTCTCTATTTTAATTATGTTATTTAGTGAATGATTATTTGTTTCTCTCTGCAAGTATTTGGTGGGTGTTAGATGTGGTAAATTATATGCTATTTTTATGGCTTTATTCATTATTCTCAATATAATTTCTTAATCAAATTCTACTACTAATTAGAATGAGATAAACAATTTCATTAATTTATATAAATAATAAACATTAATAAGGCAATGTTAACAAATGTATAAGATGTGTAGAAAGCATACTTTAATTTTAATACATGATTCAAAAATATATATATATATCACACATGTATATATATATATATATATATATATATATCTTTTTATATATTTTAATTACCTATTAATAATATAAAATAGTGTTTTTGATTCTTTTATTTAAAAAATACAGAAAAAATTAAAATTTTTATTTTAAAGATCGCCAACATGGCGGCCAACTTATAAAAATAATGACAACTACAAAATATTTAATAAAAATAAATATTATTAAAAATCTGTGTCAATAACTCTAAAAAACGTAAATTGAGTCTAAAATTAATTAAAAACTAATAAAATCCAAGGTACGTTTTTGTATCCATCATACATACAACTATTTTCTTTCTTTGTATATACATGCAACCATTGTACAGGGTTATATTTTTTCCTCCTTAAAAAATTAGTAATAATATATAAAACATAATATGCACAGATATTTATTAAATTACTCGTATATAGGAACGTATTTCAGGTTGAACTGATATTTATTACTATATTGAATATTGAATTATTTCATTTACAAATCTGTTTTCTGAAAACCTAACCTAAAAGTCATCCTTTAAATGTTGTTTCTGATTGCAGAGGTGTTCAAAAGAATGTGCCTAAGTCTGATAGATATATAGTTGATCAAAGTACTGTTCAAGGAGTTATTGAACTTGCATTGGGACGGTTTAATAATCATGATCCACCTGCAGTCTCCATTTCCAGCAGGTACTATGAGATTCTACGATGGGTATAATTTCAACTTATGATATTTTGTGTCATGGTTAATATCTCCCATTCAATTTCAGCAGATTTCTAAAGAGTATGATATTGTATCAATTTATAGAAGTAAATTTTGTCTTTAGTATTTGAATATACAGAATGTCCAGGAATTTTATTTGAATGGGGCAACGTAATTGATTGTAATCATAAACTAAAATATCTATCTCTTGCAGTTCAATAAATTTTTGCATTAAAGTAATGCATAGAGCTTTGATCAAAGTATGACCATCTTTTGGTTATTGTGTTTGATCTTTATTGATACCATAAATAACATCTCTAGTCAACAATAATAACACAATTGCCACAAGTTTTCTAGAATTAAGACGGTTACAATCAATCCTGCCATTAGACATTTTGTATATATACATAAGTTGCTATCCGTATAAAAGAATTCCTGCATCATGTATAATATATCTATAATATTATCTATCTTAAATATAAAATTCTTTGGTACTTGTGTATGATTTGATACTACAAGGTTATTTGGATTTTGAAAATTCTTTTTAGAGTTTGTCAAAGGAAATTTTTAAGATTTAATGAACAATAAAACTATAGTAATATTGTAGAAATAAATGGCAAAAATTACAAAAAATCACTTATCATTGTTTAACATTGAAAACATTTGAACTGTCATCTGCTAGAAATTTACTTGAAATTTGAATTTAGCTGAACTTATGAGCCTAGATAATATTAGAATGTAATATACAAGAAAAATGTAATGTCTACATTATTATTGCTAAAAGCATCTGAGATGTTCCAGAAATTAAAATAATATAAGATACAGTCAACAGTATATGTAAGGCAGATGAAATTATATAATTCAGTTTAATAAATAATGCAATAAGTCCAACACTGCATACACATCATATTTTTAAACTTATTCATGTCGCATTTTGGTTTACTTTACTATATTATTTAACAATGCAAAAAAAAATTTACATAAGCTGCAATGCAAAAGTATTTAATATATTAATCCGTAATATGAATTAATGCTGTTATTACTGTACATATTCATTATTATTAATAAGTTTTTTCTACTTCCAGGACTGATACAGGTGTTCATGCTCTGAATACAACTTGCCACTTTGATCTACCAAAAATTTACAATTGTCATTACATTACTGTTTGCCTGAACTCTTTTTTTCGTAAAGAGAACGATCTGATACGAGCTATTAGAACAAGATTAGTGCCACCAACTTTTCATTGTAGATTTAATGCGCTGAGCAGGACTTACGTCTACAGGTATGATAATTAATTGATAATAAACACATTTGTTTAAACTGAATACTAGAACGTTGTAAGATATCTAGAGATTGTTGGTGTTTTTATTATTAGATTAATACAGTGGTTAAGACTAAATTTCAAAAATTAATAACCAAAAAATAACTACAAAACTAAAATTTATTTTGTAAAATTAAATCGAGAAACAAAAAATCAAAGGCTTGACTTTAGTTTTTTAATAATTATGTAAATTTTTCAATTGGAGATCTTGATTTATAATTGTGAGATTATTTTTAATTTCAGATTGGCTATACTAAAACAAGAATATTCATTAAATAACTATCGACCTACTATTTTGCAATATTTTGTTGAAACACCCATCGAAGAACAGAATAGATGTATATTTATTCCGTAAGTAATAAATAGAATAATACAACAGTATAATAAATAGAATAAAAAATAGAATGATACAACATATTAATATATACTAATTATTAATTATCCTTTACTCTTTAGGAATCCCAAGTTTGATGTAGAAGCCTTCCGCAAAGCAGCCAAATTATTTGAAGGCTATCATGATTTTAGAACTTTCATGACAACATTGTCAAAAGGATCTCCTCCAGTCCACACATTGAGATACATACATGAAGTCTCGATAGAGAAATCAACTAGCACCAGTTTGCCTTTCAATAACGCTTCCAATTATTTTGACTACTGGGATATAAAGTTTAAGGGAAAGTCGTTTTTATATCGACAGGTAATAGAAATAGATAAAAATAGATTTAGCAATAGATAGATATATTACTTATTTATATAATTTTTTTTTAACTTACTGATGGAGAAGTTTGTTTTCGCAAAAAATTTCGATTTGGTGCTTTTATTAACTTTTATTAACGAAATTGAAATTTTTTGCATATCTTCACGTTTCAGAGGTTTCTGAACATTTTGGCATACCTTATAAAAAATGTATGTATGGATACAATTTTTCGTCCACGTTTTCGGGCGCACGGACCAACCTATTTGAATGATTAAAAAATTATTTGATTTCTATTGATAGGGAGATGTGCTGATTAGTTTTTGGCAAAGGCAGGTCCAGCCATAGAAATCGAGTTTATAAGAGAACGGAGCGTCTCTTCTGATTTGAATGATTCAAAAAACATTTTACTTGTATTGACGGAATGAACAACAAGGCAGTTCTAGGTTTTTCGGAGATCTATCTAGTAAAAAAAGTAAAAAACAATGCCATTTCGCGGTCAGAAATGATCATTAAAAAAGTTCAAAATTTTCAAAAAAATTCAAATTATAAAAAAAAAATTCAAATTGTTCAAAAAGTCTTTTTTTTTTCAAAAATTTCAAAGTTTGCAAAAATTTTATTTTTCAATGTTTTAAAGAACATTTTAAGATTTTTTAAAAGTTCCTGAATTAGTTATTTTTGTTCTACAAGCTCAGGATTTTTAAAAGTTTTAGTTTTTGTTACGGGAAGTTCCAGCAATTTGCCTAAGGCACGATGCCATGCACAAACTAGTTTATTTTTTAAATCAAATGAGACCAAAATTGGAAAAGTATGTGTGTGTATGTGAGCCGATTTTGACTTATCGACGTTTTCTTTCTCAAAAACGGCTGGACCGATTTAAGAAATTTAAAAGCCATTCGATGTATCTCGATGAGGACTAGCGTTTATCAATTTTGCAATATCAAAATTTAAAAACTATTCGATGAAACTTTAAAAGAACTCGCGTTGGTTAGTTTTATGATACGATCGGCTGAGCCGTTTTTTCAAATTATCAGAAAATCGTAAAATTTCTCGTCCGCGTTATAGCCAAAAATATGAATCGATTTTGCAAAGTTGAAATATATTACTGGGAAATCGTGCTCTGTCGTGCTCATTAGTTTTGCAAAAAATTGTTGGTTTAAAAAGAATATATTGACGATTTTAATGAATCTTTGTATGGGGATGGAGTACTTGATCTTTATGAACGTACTAAAATATTATAGTTCTACGAAAAGTGGTTTAATTATAAAAATTGATTTAAATTTGAAATATTCGGCCGCGCTTTTACAAAATACTTACTGTATGCATTTGGAACGTGTTTGATTTTCAATAATGTGTAATAACTTCTTTTGTTCAAAATTGAATAGTTTTCTTTGACAGTTTCTCACATTATAATGCTCTACAGCAACTCGCTGTATAGTAGTTATAAATTAATAATTATATTGATTTCTTACCGATTAAGTCGATTATTTACACAAGTTCATGCAACTTGCTTCAAGGCAAAATGCCACTTACTACTAGTCTAAATAAAATAATTACCTGTAGAATGCGTAGCAGAGAATCCAACCCTTTGAACAGACTGATCCGATTTAAACACCATGTACATTTGGTTTGAATTTGCTAACACAGCATGTGGTAATTTGGATCCACAAAATCTTCCTAAGGTTGTACTATCAGGTCCTGGACCATCATAGATGGCGACGTGATCGTATGCACATTCCTAGAAAAAATCAAATTTGTAAAAAAAAAACACAATAGTTAGACTCTATTACTCTTTATTATTCTAGATCGAGTAGACGAGTACTTGAATTTTGGTCTTTAGGATAACAAAATTATGGGTGGTCAATAACTTTATTATCCAAATGGTTAAAATTCATAAAATAAGTCTGAAGAAATGAATTAGTGTTACCTGATGAGGTTCCAATTCGAATCGATTGAACAGCAATCTGATACGATGTCCTGGTGTAGTTGTGAAATGCCATACACAATCTTTTCGAGCTGGGTACAAGTCTGGATAATTTGGACTGAAATCGAAATATTGTTATAATTTGTTCAAAATATAATAATCAATTGCACGGAATTAGTCAAAACGATTGCTTTCGCCAGATCAATTAATAATTGTTGCATTACATTTTTTTCTTTACTGCCTGGTAGACAAATATCAATTACATTGGTTTCCATATTTTTTCCTCACCTATAAATGTTGCCTGTTGGTGCAGTAATTTCATATTTACAACCTCCTTCTTTGCAATCATGTCTATTATCATGAAGAGTGAATCCATTATGACAGGAGCAAACATAAGATCCTACTGTATTTCTACATTCGTGCTGACATCCTCCATTGTTGGTCGCACACTCATCTTTATCTAATTAAAAAAAAAATTTAATGTAATAAAAACTCAAGGTTAAATGTATTTAGTCATTTATTATCTTACCTGTGAAGAAGACAGCAGCAAATCCTGATTTCTGCACACTATTGTCAGATGTGAATTCGATTCTCATTGCATTTTTTTCTGATGTCACCATTGGAGGCATCCGAGATCCGCAGAAAATTCCATGTTTTTTGTAGATGTCTTCACCCATTTTGCTATGTACAGTCAAACTGTCGTATTCGCATTCCTGGTAAAAAATAATAAAAAATATAACTGGAACTTTAATGAAAGACCACTTGGAAACTTTCCCATTAACTTTATTTGTATGATCTTTCCTACTAGACATTTCATCTGGTTTAGATATAGAAAATATAAAATCGATTGAGGCAAAATAATAATCATATGTCCAATTTATATACTGCTTATTAGTTGAAGATGTATTTATTTTGTAATGAGAAATGAAATTGGAGAGAAAATTTTTTGAAAGAAATTCTTACATAAACTGTTTGTGGAATATATATACGTTAAGTAGAACTGGAAGTCAAAGAGCTCAGTAAACTACGGGAAAAAATCGACAAAATTTCTCACATGGACAAATGGAATTTAAAGCAATTCTGCGATATTTTTTTTTGGAAAATTTACGTAATTTGAAAAATCTTGTTTATAAAATAAAATAAATTTGAACCTCAGGCCAGTGTGCCAGTGATTTGTAGAAAAGCCAATGGTTAAGTCAAAATGGTAGAAGGTGATCAAAAATTTGGATCAAGATAAAACGAAAGAAAATTGGGATAAAATATATTTAAAAAAACTATTCTAAATTCGTTTAACTATATCAATGAATACAAATCGTTGGCTGCAATGCATACTAATGGTAAGCTGATTATTTTACTCAGGAACTTACTTCTAGTTGTTCCTCCCAGTAATATTTTTTTTTACAAAGTTTATTAGTATAAATGGGCAATAAATGTAATATTATATGTTATTTTTTTATTATTTACCTGCTGGTATACATTATTTCCTTCCAAATCAAAATGCGTGAAATTCAAGGTAATCCTATATTGAGGTGGTGCTAAAATTTCCCAGGCACAACTTTTGCTCGATGGATACATTTCAGGGAAAGATGGTGACGTTATGGTGCCATTTGCCGAATCGAAAATTCCGCCACAAGCATCTGAAATAAATAATAATATTAATTGATACTAATTATTATCATGAATGTATTTATGTGCATTGAGAATTTCGATAATCTGTATGTGAGTTGTCTATACACTATTAAAAAATTTTGTTCCATTAATTTTGTGGACAAAAACCGACACAATTTATGTGCTTAAAATATGAATCTTTTTAAATTTAGGTATAACACATTTAAATTTACATATAACGTGACATACTTATTAAA